GGAAAAAAATGAACTTAAATGATTTTAGCATATGGCTGCAATATAAGAAAGAGTGAAAAATTTAAGGGGGTCTGAATACTTTCCGTACCCACTGTATCTAGTACAGCACATTTTTCAGGAGAGGGTCGATCACGTTCTTACCACATGCTGTAGTAAGGCATATTTTTTAGTTAAAATGTGAACTCCTGTTGGACTCAAACAGTCTCAAACCTTCCGCTCCGCATCATTTTGGTTTTTATATTTCACATTTGACAGTTTTTACTTTCATATCTTACGTTCTTACTTTACATCAGTACATTTTTATATTGTTTAAGCTCAGATCATTTTTATGTTTTAATAGATTGGAATCTTTGATATTTTGCATTTTACTTTTGTACACTACATTTTACATATAATTTAAGTACATTTAACTATTACACTGTTACTTTATTATTTTTGCCTTTACATATTATTCACCTAATATCTATTACTGGGTTTGTGTTTTAACATTTTGCTCATAACTCATTGATTCAAGAATTTCAAATTTGCGAATATCTTTCTGATTAAATCGAGGTAGTGAGACAGAAGGATTTATTTACTTCATTTTGAATAATTTGAGAGCATGTTTTACTTATTTTATTCCCTCCTTTTGAGTATTTTGTGTGCGAGATCTAAGTAGCTATGTGACTGCTCTAGGGCTCCGTAGCTGACTAACTATACTTCATTACATTTATCTCGGGGGTTTGGTTTGCAAAAATGGCTACACTGGGTGACGCACAGTTTTTGTAGGTGATTGCAACTTACTGAGAGCTGCTGGGAAGTAATTCCAGAAGAGCCTTCATGGCAGCAGTGGTGGAAGAAGTACTTGGACCAGTTATCTACACAAAAGCAGAAATACCAAAGTGTAAAAATACTGTTACATTTAAAAGTCCTGCATTCAAAATTTCACTACAAGAGTAGCCTATTTGCATCAAAATATACTTGAAGGGCCAAAAGAAAAATTACTCATTATGCAGAATGGCATATTTCACATTAATATATAATTGGTGATGCATTATTGCATTTACCACTTAATCTTGCAGCTGGTAAAGGTGAAGCTAATGTTTACTACTTGATATGTAAAGAACTGCAGGGCAGCTTGTGAATTTGCCACCAGGGATCAATAAAGTCTCACGATTATGCAGTGGGTCGTGCAGGCCGTGAGAGCTCTCTACAGTACCTCCTATAGTTGTGCCCTTATATTAACATGTCTGTGCAGATTCTCAGTCATCCAGGCCATAGTAAACCAAAATAACCTTAGAAAAAATCAACTGGACTAGATTTCTAGGTCAAAGACGTTTCACCTCTCATCCAAGAGGCTTCATCAGTTCTGACTGACTGGTGTTGAGCTGGAGATATTGTCCATAGAAATCTAGTCCAGTTGATTTTTTCTAAGGTTATTTCGGCCCTTATATTAAATAAAGGAAATCGAGAAAGCTCTCACAGTCACTCATCTGTTTTTAACACATTACATAAACTTAAGCATTTCACCAGTTTCTATACATCAGAATCAGAATCAGCTTTACTGGCCAGTTGTGTGGGACACATGAGGAATTTGACTCTGGTACATCGGCTCTCAATGTGTCATCTGGAAGGAGGAAAGAAGATAAGGAAACATGGTGGTGGAACAAGGAAGTACAGGACAGCATTCAGAGGAAGAGGCTAGCTAGAAAGAAGTGGGACGTATAAAGACTGAAGACAGTAGACAGGATTACAAGAAATTGCAGTGTAGAGTGAAGAGGGAGGTGGTAATGGCCAAACAGAAAGCATATGATGAGTTGTATGTCAGGTTAGACATGAGGGAAGGTGAGAAGGACTTGTACAGATTAGTGAGACAGAGAGATAGAGATGGGAAGGATGTGTAACAGTTAAGGGCGATTAAAGACAGAGATGGAAAGGTGCTAACAAGTGAGGAGAGTGTGCAGAGAAGATGGAAGGAGTATTTTGAGGAACTGATGAATGAGGAAAATGAGAGGGAAAGAAGGGGGGAAGAGGTGAATATGGTAGAGCAGGAAGTAGAGCAGTGAGGAAAAGACAAGAGGCAGAGATGGAGGTAGCAGAGATGAGGATGTTGAGGTTCTCTTTAGGAGGGACCAGGATGGACAGGATTAGGAATGAGCACATCAGAGGGACAGCTCAGGTCGGCTGTTTAGGGGACAAGGTCAGAGAGGCCAGATTGAGATGGTTTGGACATGTGCAGAGGAGGGATAGTGGTTATATTGAGGATAGAGTTAGGTGGAAACAGATGATTCGCTGTGGTGACCCCTAACGGGAACAGCCGAAAGAAGAAGTCTTCTTCGGCTCTCAATGTGCATGTACCCCCATGCGAGGGGCAAGTAAACAGTAAACCAGCATAAGGCTGTGTAATATAACAATATAAGCAGTATTAACAAGAAACAAACAGTAAAAACAATGCAAAATAAGCAGTATAAACAGGCAGTAAACAATGCAGACAGACAATGGAATGCTCATTGTGAAATGGGATAAGTAGGAATAAAAATAGAGTATTTAAAAGAGACCTGTACGAATGTGTACGAGGTATATTTACAGGTATTTCACTGAGTGTTATTGTCCAGTCATACTGTCGTTGGTTAAGTGTTCATCACAGCGACAGCCTGGGGGGAAAACTGTCCCTGTGCCTGGTTGTCTTGGTGCACAGTGACCTGTAACGCCGTCCAGAGGGGAGGAGTTCAAACAGATTGTGTCCAGGGTTTATGACTACCATATCACTACCATAATTACCGTGACTAAATTATCCACTGTTAGCATGTCACACTATGAGCTCGCGCTTCTCTCAAACCACATTACAACATGAGATAAATACACAAGTTCGACACTACTACCGGAGCACGATGTCTCCCGCAACTAGCTTAACTATTAGCGTACATGACAAAACAATATCAAAACTCCTTTGTTTCTCTAACAGGCTACATTGACCACGAACCAGAAACGATTAATAACATCTCTGTGGCCTTCAAAATAAATTGTGGGCTAGATTATTACCTTATATAAGAGAAATACGAAGGAGAGCAGGAGAAATACCATGACATTCTTCTCACAGTCGCTCACCTGGTGACGTCAAAGGAGCGCGACCTCGTTCTTCGGGATATACTAGGCGTAATTAGTCGATCGGTGCACGAACAGAAACAAGGCTGTTTCCCTCGTTAACATGACTTTTTGGCACTTTTCAGTTTCGATTACTGGTCAGATAATTGTAACTTTGACGAACTATCATAACCATGTTCTAGAAATGACTTATACCGAAATCTGTAGTCAGAACAACCTTAGCGTCCTCTCAAATGAGGTACGTGGCTTGATCATGACGATTTTCTTAGCTGTAATATTTGTACTCATTACAATTATACCGTATTTGGTTTTACTCATCTGAAGGAACTAAAAACTCACTTAGTGCAGTAAAAAGTACAATATGTCTCTGAAATGTTGTGAAGTCCAAGGAGCCTCTGAAGTAGGAGAACATGACATCCTCAACACCTCGATTGTCCTAAAATACAGTACTTGACAAATTGTAACCACCTTGGTTACTTTCCACCATTGTTTGAGATTTTCTGAATATTTATGGGTAAAGATGATTGTAATGCACCTTAAAATATGTAAACACTGGACTAAATGTAATTTAAAAGTGAGTTTTTGAATATTGGCTGCATATGGACTTAAGTTACTCTTGTACTAAATTGAGTTATTTAATGTTACTGAGCAATTGCTGTTTAAATGTATAGGCCTAATAAACATCCAAACTAAATTTTTAAAATTACTTTTTAATATGCTTAATTGCATGTCCTTTGTTTTTAAAATTGTATTTTATTTATGTTATGGACTTCTATGAGACTCCAAAAATCAAGTTTCATTACAGAAGTAGCTCCATGTGAACCCATGTTTTATTTATTTAATCACATAGAAAAACAGACAACTTGCAGACTTTTTGTACAGCAGCATTTCTCAAAGTCAACAAGAGAAATAAAGAGTAACAATCAGAAGGCACAGACTCTCTCTAGAGTTTGGAGTTCATTGAAAGTGAGGAGACAAAGAAAATGAACCACAGAAGAAGAGAAACATGAGAACCACAGAGAGAGAATGTGCATCAACACAAACACTAAAGAAAAAGTGTCCCCTGACCCAGAGCCTGAAATACACACAGTTGGGCTGCGTTCGCGTCAGAACAGCGATACAACTCTTAAAAGCTCCTCTCAATCGATTGTTGATTTAACCCATTTAAAATTGGTTTAGCTTGCAGTGCTAACAAATGATTGGAGGAAGTGTTTTCTAAACTAAATTGCTGCTTTGTTGTGTTTAAATGTCTGATGCTTCATGGACATGCAATGCGATATATGTTGTGATGCTGCATTCAACCAGAAAATCTGAAATTTTACTTCCTTTAAAGGAATATTTCAACTTGCTTTCTTGCATAAATTTAACTAAGGACTGATAGCACAGTTTGTAAAATTGAAGCTACAGCTAGCAGCCACTTAGCTTAGCTTAGCATAAAGATTGGAAATGGGGAAACAGGTAGCCTGCCGCTGTTCAAAGGTAACAAAAGTTTCTATCAGCACCTGTAAAACTCAATCAACACAATAAATCTTTTGTTGAACAACAACAAAAAAGTATACTGGTGGTTATAAACTAAGATAAGCATATGCTAGCTCTTGTTTAATCTGTAAAATATTTAAGTGTAAAAACAACAAAAAAGGTTTTATAGGCAGTTGCCTGCACATTTCTAGTGTTTTAAGCCAAGCTATCAGGCTGCTAGCTGTAACTTGAAACAGCATCTCTTCACGTAACTCTTAGCAAAAAAGTTTACACATTCTTCCCCAAACATCAAACTATTCAGCAATTATTTTGATCATTTCAAAAAAAAAAAAAAATTTTAAAAGTGTAAAAAAGAAAAAAATAATTCAGCTTTGCAAATGTGAGCACCTTAGTATTCCAAGACTGAAAACTAAGTGTTTTTGTTAAAAGCAAGATTTTTAAAGAACTTAGACTTTGTGAAATTGAGGAATGGACATTTCCCACAAGATTTTAAGATTTTGTTTACCAAATGAATAATCTTTAAAGTAAACTATATGTAAACCTGCACTTCCTAACATGCTACGCTAAGGAGCTAGCCAATAATGAGCTTGGTAGTGTTTGTTTCCACGTCAAGCTGGAGGATTCCGGGCTCTAATGTACTCTGAACTTATCAAAGACGAAGACACATGACAACAGTAAGAGGTTCACAGATGAACAATTTGCTCTGGCATCCATTTTCAAATTTTCTAGGCCGAATCAGTCCAGTGAAAAAAAATCGTGTTGACATCAAAACTAATTAGAAAAAGTGCGATTAAAACCATTCAAAAACCAAACAAGCTCTGGGAGGGAAAAAACCATGTTCTCTCCTCTCATTACGTGAGAGCTAGTAGCCCCGCCCCCCATGGGAGGGGCCATACGGGCCTGGTTTATACACCGCCCCTGCATCCCCACCTTGCCTTCTCCTGTATCCCCCTCTTCCTCCATCATGGCCTCCTCTCCCTCCTCCTCTGTAGGTCTTCCTGGGACCCCGGAAGTTCAGGGTTGTGTGTTTGAACCCCTCCGTGTCTTCCCAATAGTCCTCGGTGCTGCAACCCACGGACAGAGGTTCAGGCATGATAGGGGGCGGCAGGTAACCCCCCTGGCCGGGCTCCAGTGCTCCAGGTTTGACAAATGTTTTGAAGTTATGCATAAATGGTTTTCGGGGTCTATAGCTACGGGCGGGGATGTTGTCACCAGAGTTGGTTGCTTTGGAGATGATGTCACGCGGGCCAGAGCCACTGCTGGGTCTCAAGGTTGTCACGGAGACGTCACCAACATCAGAGTTTGAGACCAGAGCGACCTGAGAGAGAGTAAGGTTTTATTTTATTTAATACTATTACTTAATATTAGTAAAGTAATAAAATTAGTAAAATATTAACACTATTATTAATATACCACTGCACCAGCTACTACTCGTATACCACTATAACTTGTACTACTACACAATTGTAGTAACATAAGTTGTGTAACACTAGTACTAATACTTCTGTTAATACTACTACTATACTTACTACTACTACTAACTACTCCCATCACCACAACCACTAGAATCATTTCTACATTTATTATTACAACTAATAGTACTATTACTGCTATAACTATAAATACTACATTTATGACAGCAGGTTGCAGTTACAGTGCTACTTTTCACCTAGTACTGCTACTGATTTACTAACATTTAATGTACAGAGTGAACCCGCAGCTGTGGAAAGAAACATTCTCTGTGTGTGTGTGTGTGTGTGTGCTGCGTACTATGGGCTTGTTTTGGAGTGGTGGGTCCACCAGCAGCACCGCTCTGGTCATACCCTCCCCCTGCTCCTTCTTGAGGGCTGATAGGAAAGAAAAAGTTTCCATTACAAGTTGAGAGGTGCAGTTCCCTCTGGTGACAAACACACTAACAACTTGACATTTAAGGACCTCATTACCCAGAAATACTACATCCTCTCTGTTGATACATTTAAAATTTTCATGGTGCCTTATTTTGGACTTGTATAATAAAAACTGTCCACGTACCAAAACTGTTCAAACCAGGAACCCCTACAGTTCTGCTGTTGTTAGCATTAGCAGGACCGTCCAGAGGTCCAGGGACGTGACCAGGGATCGTGTCCCCGTTCGTGTGCTGAAGCTGTTCCATCGCCCCCTGGTTCACTTGGAGCTCTTCTGAAGAATAATATCCCAGAGAGCTTGGTGGGTATGAAGTTATGGCTGGGGGATACCGTGGGTGTCCTGGGCCTTGACTCGGAGGGTACACCTGTGATGAAGGCAGGGAACTTGGATACGGCGGAGCTGGGGAGGGGTATCCAACCGGGTAGCTGGAGTTTCTGGGAGGGGGCATCTGGTGCTGTTGCCAGGGCATCCTGTGGGGCGGAGGCTGGGAGACGGGGTACCTAGTCTGGGTGAAGGAGGGTTCGCTGGGACAGGGGGGCTCAGTGAGTGGGGCCTGGTGGTCATATTGTGTCACTGATACCGGAGGATACTGGGGGTATGGTTCCTGCTCTCTGGTTTGAAGGTTTGAAGGAGGGTAGTGGGAGGCAGGGGAGGGGGAGCGGGAGGGGAGCTTGGGTTGCACAGTGTAGGCCTGCTGCAGGGGGATGAGGTATATGCAAGGAGGGTACATGGGCATGGAGTAGGCCTGTGGGAAAAGAGCAGCAGACGTAAATGTCAGTTTTTGCTTCTGGGACCAACAAAAGTTGATGCAGTTTAAGGTTTAAATCAAGTGCAGCAACAACAGATGTGTGCATCAGCAAACCAGAGTCTGACCAACACAACCAGGAAGAGAAAGCTGCAGCACTGACATGTCAAAGATGCAGAAGGGCGACAACAAGAAGTGCAGATCTTGGTCTTTAATGGCCAAATATTAATTTTCACTTACACGTTTATGTTAAAAACCTACGTCTATTTTTTTAAACTCAAACATCTGTATTTGTTATCAGCCTGAAAAATCCACCACCAGTCAGGCTGCATACAACAAAACTGTTTGGGGTTTTTCCTCTGCTGAGACTTTGTGTCTTACCTTAACACCCAAGTTAAAGAAAAACCTCAAGACGTTGACATCTGCAGAGGAAAACAAGAAAACAATAACATCACAAAACGCTGACCAAATATTACCTTGTTATACAACTTTGCTGCACCTAGATATAGCAATGAAAGGCTAAACGTAGACATTTAGGTCACTGCTTTTTGATCCCTTCCTTTTGAAATGTTTCTAAAAAACATAAAATCTGTAATTACAGTTTTCCTGATTGTGTTTGTTGGCACCTGATCCAAAGCAGAATCTTTTAATGCTGAGCAAATAACTGGGAGCCTTGCTCATCTAGAAAAACCACAGCCTGGCTCACCTTGGGGCAAGTCATCCCCAGACTTGCTGGAGGAGTAGGGGGGTGTTGGGGCTACGTCACCCTTCTCTCCCTGGGGAAAACCGGGGTACAGGGGGTCCTGGAAGAGCTGAGACAATTGCTGAAGAGGAACAGCTCCTGGGATGGGCTGGGGGTGAGGGGGAGGATGCACAGAGTGTAACTGGGGGTGATGAGGGTGTGACTGCTGGGTGGGGGGAGCTGAGGACTCAGGCTGAGGCTGCGGAGCTGGAGCTTCTGTTTTATCCTGGGTGCCGGGGGTGGGATTCACTGAGTAGGAGAGAGAGAGGGAGGGATGTGGGACCTGGGAGGGGTGAGGAGGCTGGACCAGCTGGCTGGGGAGGTGAGGCTGGGTGACTGAGGGCTGGGGCTGCACAGAGGCAGGGATGGAGGCCTGGGTGGTATGGGAACAGGAAACCTCTGGAGCTGAGTGAGCTGACTGGACCTGGGACACCTCAGACTGGGACTGTGAGGTGTACTGGGCCTGGTATTGGGGCTTGAGGTGGGAGAACGAGGCCTGCAACTGTGAGAGGGAAGCCTGGTTTTGTGGCAGTGAGGCCACTTCAGTGTGGGACTGAGGGTAGGGCTGGGGGTCAGGAAGAGAGGGCTGAACCTCTGTTCGCATCTGAGGCATCAGGGTTTTGTTTTCGGGTAGGGAACCCTGACTCTGGGTCTGGATCTGGTGCAAAGAAGGCTGCGTTGGTTTCTCAGCCTGCTGTAATGATGCCTGAGTTTGGGTCTGGGACACCGAGATCTGACTCTGGTTTTGAGGCAACGATGCCTGGAGATGAATCTGGGACAGAGACGTTTGGCTCTGGAGGGTCTGAGACGCTGCCATAGGACCCTCAGCATGTGCCAAAGAAACTGAAAAAAAGACATGGAAGTTAATGGAGGCGAAGTCAGAGCAGGAGTAAGAGAACCTGCACAGATCTCAACAGAAATGTTCCAATGAGACTTAAATCTTAGTCTGACTGAACAGATCTCTTACTTGGAGTTATTGCTGGAGCTGGTGGTGCCTCTTGGACTTGAGCAGAATGATGGATAAGAGAGGAGGAAGAGGGTGGACAGGGAGAATGGGGGAGAGGGGGAATAGGCGGAGAGGACCGGGGGACAGAGGAGGGCTGGAGAAAGCCCTGTGCAGCGCCTGGAGAAGGAGCAATGGGTGAGATGAAAGTGGGAGGAGGAACTGAAGAGGAAGGAGGTGGAGAGACAGATGATTTAGGAGGAAGTGAGGAAGAAGAGGGGGGAGGAGAAGGGGAGGACAGGGCGGGCAGGGCTTGTAGTGATGAAGCAGTGGGGAGTACAGGGGTGACAAAGGAGAAAACAGCAGCAGACGAAGGGATGTTAGGCGGAGCACCATCCACTCCAGAAGGCTTTGTGCTTGGGGAAGCAGCAACAGGAGAGTTTGGTGTCGCACCAGCCGCTAAAGCATAAGACTGTGTGTTTGTTTTATCAGTCGGGGCAGCAATGGCGGGTGGCAGACTGGAAGAGGAGCCTGATGCTGTGGCGGCCATGCTTATGCTGGGCATTGACGCCTTGAGTGAGCTTCGCCGAGCAGCGCTGGACTCAGAGTTTGCAGATAGAGCAGCGGGAGGCTTTGCAGCAGGCTGTGTGGGGTTGATGGGGGTAGTAGTATTTGTAGTGGGTGCAGCAGTAGCAGTAGTGGCTGGAAGTGGCGGCGTGGAGGATCTGGGTGTTTCGACAGCAGAGGGAGGAAGTGCTCCGATGTCTTCAACTGGACTTTTCTATAAAAGCGGTGAACAAAAATATTAGTGGACAAAGAAAAGAAAATTTACAGCTGTGATGATTCCGACTCATTCATGTGGCCAAAAACCTGAAATAACCTCGAGCTAAAACATGACAACAACCCACTCAAACTATATCACCTCATGTTAAATTAATATTCTGTAACCATTTGGCTATGGGGCACCAGAAGGCCGGTGATAATACAACTGATGAAACCTTCTGAACATGCAGCTGGCATTACATCTGACACATGCTCCTGCTCAGAAATTGTTTTAGGTTAAGAAAATGCTGAATGAGGTCAGTGTGTGTAGTTTGCACTTCCTTTCTCTTCAATTCTACTTAACCTCGAATTCAAGTACACGTCACTCTGTCACTGCGACACAGCGTCCAACAGAACCACTGTGTTCGGACATGGGGACGATATGATTTTAGCATGTTCATCATCTTTAGCACGTCACACCACAGACTACAGCTGCAGATTTGCTCTCATAATAGGTTTACTATTTGTGATCACTGATCAATATCCGACCCACATCTGAACAGCGTCATCACATCGTGAATGAAGGGAAGCTATGCAGCACAACAAGCGTTCTGCCAGCAGACTGCTAACGCTCTATTCAGGCGAACAAATGTACGACAAGTCATAATGTGCAATACAGTAAGTTGTCTATTCTAAGTTTCAGTTTTTAAGGTCAGTTTCTCATTTTTATGCTGAGATACTGGAAGTTGCTTTATAGGTGCAGTAAATATTCGGTAAATAGCCTGAATGGCAAAGTGAATCTTGAACATGTAATGCCTGAAACAACACAGCCGCACACTGGCAGGGTTTAACTCTGGGCTGTGTTTGGTATGAACGCCCACTCACCGTCTTGTTTCTCAGGGATTTTTTCTTCTCTCCTCCCTTCCTCCTTCCACCATCACCCTGCATCCCAGGCTGAGTCTGATGGGAATAAAAACATTTATGGCAGCTCCCCGGGTACAATCTAAAAAGACTACAACATACAAAATCTGGAGTAAATATAAGCATGTCAGCACTGCAGGATCTAATGGTGTATGTACAACCAGCGAGTCATGAAACAACTCTATCACACCACATATCAGCATGTTCACACTCACCCCGAGGGCGGGGAAGCTGTGCTCGTCTCTGAGCTGGATCTCCACCAGCGCCACGTTCCTCTTCTCTTCCTCTTTGGCCAGTCGCTCCTGCTCCGTCAGACCGAACAACACCGACTCGGCCGAGTTCAGAGACTTCCTACAGACACATTTTAAAACTTAAAAACACACTTACCACATTTACCAGTGAGGAAGGTGTCCAGACAACAGGACTGTTTCAAGGTACCTTGTGGTGAAATGACGATAAAACACTGACATATCACCCTTTAAGTTGGCATTGTGAATTTATTAGAACAAAGCTGCTCATTTCCACACTCAGCAGTTACAGGCAGCATGTTAGCCCAGTGTTCCCTCTTTTAGCTCTGTTTTTGGTCTCCTCCACCTGCTGAGGGAAACTTCTGGCTGTTTAGCTGCTGAAAGCTTCGCTGTGTTCACCAGCTAGGTTCTAACGGTCTGTCTGCTGTTTGCTGCTGAGCAGGTCGTGGACAGTGGCTATTCGGGCCAAACGCTGTGCTGTGTGTCTGCTCACACTGACCTGCTGGTTTTTGCCCCTCCCTGCTCCACTGCAGTGGGCTGCGGGGGCCACGAGTGCTGCTTCTGGATGCGCCCACCGGAGCCTGGTGCTGTCGTCTGGTAACCAGAGGAGGATGCTGGGATGGACTTCCCTCTGCCTCGGCCTTTACCCTTCTCCTCCCACTCTGATGGAGAAACAAGGATTTAAGTTATGTTATAATGGCGTGGCAAACCGCAGAGAGTTCAATCATGTGCGTTTAGGGTGCGCGGCCAGTGTGTGTCCACCACCTCCGTGTCCGTTGCTGAGCTTCTTGTCTCTATTGACCACAATGCTCCAGCTGTTCTCATCATGGAGAGGTCGCACACCCCACAGAGGGACCTGTCTACAAACACATAACATCAACTCGCACCATTACTGGTCCAATTAAGAAACAAACAGCCAAAAGTCACAGATCCACCGTTTTCTGTTCATGTGCAATGTTGAGCTGAACTAATGTGGGTAAACACCCCACTGATGCTTTGCCACCTGATGCATGTATTTCAAAATAAAAGTATTTCAATGTCATGTAAAAGCAGTGGTAGGCTTTACTTTGAAAGCAGAACCCGCCATTGGCTAACAATATTAGCAATATGAAAAACTTGCCTCTTGCCCAGATCTTCTATGTAAACTGTCACTGGACCATTGTTGGGAGTCAGCTCCTTGATGGTGGCGTTGTAGCTCCGTCCACTGCCCTCTAGACGAACCTACAGGTGACACATCAATACACACACACTTGTATACAAACAGTGTACAGGTGGTGACAAACTAAAGGAAGCCCCTGAACAAATGAATGGTCTCCTCCAGGGTGACAGAGCCCCCCCGTCCACAAGGGGTCACTGATTGGCGTGATGAGGATGACCATGATGTTGTGGCCTTCCCAGTCACCAGGTCTCAGCCCAGCTGAACAGCTATGGGAGATGTTGGAGTGATGTGTTAGAGTCTCCACCACTGTCATCAAAACACCATGAGGGAACATCCGGTGGAAGAACGGTGTTCATCCCTCCACGAGGGTTCAGAGACTTGGAGAGTCAGTGCCAAAGTGGAGCTGTTCTGGTGTCACATGGTGGCCCAGCACCTCACTGAAACACTGTATTGGGTTGTCCTTTCATCTATCACCCATCAGTAAACATGCATCAGAATTTGAAAACACACACCTGGCAGCGGTCGCCTACATTGTAGTGCATCCCAGCAGCGATACAGTAGTCCAACTTCTGTTGGGCTAAATGAAAAGCAGAAAGAAAACCTTTTAAATTTGCTTCACTTTAAGGCTTTTATGGACATACTTTGACAAGCCAGAGAAACTGTTGTAAAAATACGAACCCCAAACAACAAGAAAATCTTTCTAAGACCAGCAAATGTCATCCAGTCAGGATTTGTTTTAGACTGGATGTGCATTTGGTTTAACGCCTTTTACTCTGAGTGTCATAGCGAGTTACCTCTCTTGGTCTTTTGCCAGACGTCATACTCTACATTCCTGAGCAGAGTCGGGTTCAGTGAACGTCTCACCCTCTCAGACAGCTGCCGACCACGCCCGCGGCCCTGGCACACACACATGCACACAGTTATGCAGGTATGTACAAGAGCTGAATGACATTTGCTTAATCAGTGTCGGCATTACCCTGCAACTCTGGTTGCTGCGTCTTGTAGAAGTCGTGCTTGTTCCATCTTCCACCCTATAACAAAAACAAACCATGAGCTTGTTCCCTTATGGAAAAAACAGAAGTTTACCAAATAATACAAGGAGTGAATAAATGTACATAAGCACAAAATGTGACTTTGTAGAGAAGAACACAATTATACAAGTGAGCAAAAAAGTTAGTCACAGAGACTAAAAGCAGGTTAACTGCAGAGTCAGTTTACTACAAATAAATCTAATAATAAATAGTTGTCTATCTGTGCATCAGTATTTTTGTTTTAAATCTGGGAGCACCTAAGGTGAATAAAATCTACGATTGGGTCCACTTACTAATTATTCAGAACTTTGAACCACGTCTTCTTTCCAGCTTTGACTGAAGTTATAACTTTTTCATATCGATCATTTAAGATCATTAAGTTCTGAATCAAGATTAAGAAGCTTGTAAAAATGAGGTGAGCTGACTTTACTAGCTCCTGTTATGTCACTGAGTCACATACACATTTGATCAACATGTTAGGAGCAGACTGGACTCAACAGATATGACAAGACTCAGATCAGGACGAGGCCAAAACCACCTGACTGTCTCAGTCCGTTTAATCCTAGTTATGCTGTCACGTTTCCTACCAGAGCGGCTCGTCTGCATCCAGCTCGGACTCATCGCTGCTGGCGCAGGTGGCCATGTTGTCATCACTCAGTACAGGGGATCGGCCGCTCCGCTGATGGGAGCCCAGGATGCTCCGGTCCACCTTAAACACACAGGTGTACAGCAGCTCGTAGAGGATGGCTGCAGGAGACACACACACACACACACACACAGACCAGAGGGGAAGTTAAGTGGACAAAAAAACGAGTCACTAAAGTGTGTGAAGTAATGTATGTTAGTGCACTAAACAAACTCCTATCCTCCAGCTGTGCAAGAACTCAACCACTCAGATGTAACTGATCTACAGGACCTGTGATTATTCTGGGTCTAGAGCCTCAGTTTGAGAACCACGTTCCTAGAGACAATTCGGGAGAAACACTCACACTGGCAGAGAGCAGTGTTGCTGATGTGGCTGATGGGATAAACGCTGTCATAGTGATTCCTATTCAGAAAACACAGCTGCACCTGAGACAGAGAAACACACAGGGTAAGCACACATGTGTAAAAGTAACATTTCTGTATGTTACTAAGAGACAAAACAAGTCTCAATATTTACTTAACTGCTAACTTTCAAAGCTATTACAACAAACTGGAGTTGAAAGAACAGTAAAGACAAATGAAAAGCCAAACTGTGTTTCCACAGCTGGACCTGTCCAGGCTCACCTTGTCCTTGAAGTTGTTGTCGGTGATGTTGACGGCTGGTTTGCCGGGCTCCTGGTAAATCACAAAGTCCCTCCTACAGAAAGACAAACAGGTGAATGTTACGGTTTGTCCACAAACGATTCAACACAGCCCAGCGAGCCGCACCGCTGCACTGGGCGACAGGTTTCTACCTTGGGAAAACATGGGGCCCATCTGTTTTCAACAAACAGCTCCAGCGCGAGACCCCGGATCCAACCTTTAATACTCACTTGTACATGACAGCCAACGCGTTGATCTCCACTTCTCCCACCCATTGCTGAAAAACAGATTTCACCGCATCATCAATAAGTATGAATGAAAATGTGACTAGAGCTGGTCATCATTCCAAAATGTGATACCTTGACTTTAATACCAGTTCCTAAACACTACTTTATTCGATACCAATTAAAAAAAACAAAAAAACAACATACATTACATATTTTGGTACAAATTGCTTTTATTTTTCAATTCCTTGACATTTGTGTGCAAACAAAACAGTTTTATAACATTAGGTTCTCTTACGTTTATCATAAATAAACAAGAGCACTCAGAGAGCGCATGTGCCTCCGCCAAGTCACAACATTCACTCATGCAAATTGGTCCTTTGTGAAAAATGAGATCCAAACCACCACCAAATCTGTCCAGAAATCCTTTATCCAGATTGAATCCAGATAATCATTTAGGGAATGTGCATAGTACCTGGACAAATCATGGCTCCATCTTCATTACAGGCCAAGTTATGGTATAAGATCTGTTTTAAATGGGCTTTTCAATGTTAATTTTGAACGGCCATCAGATCCATTCAGGTTGGTGACACACTGCCGCCCTGCATGGGTGTCAAATTTCAAAGGATTTCGATAACTTTTGATGGAGATAAATTTTTTTTAAATTCTGCCCCATATTAAAGACAAGAATTTTTTGTGTGATTATTTTATGTGGCCTTGACCTTTGACCTTTTCAGCCAAAATATAGTCACTTTTAGGGTTGGTCCTCACCAATGTCTGGACCAAGCACGTGGTTTGTAATCCTGCTAACCAACACACACACGGAGCCAAAAACCTAACCTCCTTGGCGGAGGTAATAAAGATGTAAAAAAAAAAAAAAAAAAACACTTTTCAATACTCGATGGTACTGAAGTAATTCAATTAATGCCATAAAAGAGAGTTAATTAGCGCCATCGAGAGCCGGCACTAAATGTGACAATGTGAAATCCCTCAAATCCAGAGCCAATCATCAAATAACAGCAAACTATGATGTTAAAGTTTCTGATAACACTGGCGTGACGTTTACCTGTGGGTCCTGGAGCTTGCACAGGTAATCTTCAAAGTTACCTTCAATAAACTGCAAAACAAAACACACCAGTGAGCTCCAACAACACACACAGCCATAACAATAATGACACCTGATGCCATTTTCTACACACACATTGGTCTGCTGCGATCACCGAGTTGTTGACTGTTAATAGTTAATATGGTTGGTTTGTTTCGCTGGATCATCGTTGGACAAGTTCAAGAGTTAATCTACATTTTTCTCTTCCTGCATTTCCTCCAGTTTGGGTAACATCTGTTAGACCTACATTGTCCATAGAGCCTGTTTTAAAATAATAAAATTATATTTATGTTTTACTGGAAAGCACCTTGTAACGCAGGTTTAGAAAGGTGCTATATGAATAAACTTTGCTTGCTTGCTTGTTTGCTTTATGGGTTCATTGTCTCTCTCGAGAAAGAAACAACATAGAAGTCAAATTTTTGCAACACTGACTAAAACACTGCTATCAGTGAATAGCAGCATAACACTAGGCTGATCCATGGAAAGGAAAAAGATCGAAATATCTGCTGTTGAATTGTTTTTTTACTTCTGGATCTGATACTCAGATATTTTACATGATAAATTAGCTCTTGGACCAGGTGAGAGCCAGGTGTTTCCCATCATGCCCTGAGCTCTTGTGGCGCCTGGTTCCTGTATCGTTGGCTACACAGAACGGCAGGCAAGTCAGACAGAAACTGACCAGCATGCCTTGCATGGCAATTGCCGCTGATCAGTTCTAGTTTATCTAGAAATGCAGCCACGCTACGCAAGACGCTGTACGGTGTTGTGGAAAATGTTGTAAAGCCCTGTTGTAGAGAGAGAGGAGGAAGTGTGATGGTGTGATTACATCACAAGACCAAGAGCTTTGGCTCTGAGTTCCTCCTCCTGTCATTCAGCCTCAGCTAGAAAACAAAAATCTGCCTCTTGTTTCATTGCACACTATCAGATTACATCTGTCAGCACTGCATCATGTTATGATAATAATCATTTTATTGTTGTTTATTATTTTATAATAAGTTTATATAGCGCCTTACAACACCAAAGGGAACTCAAAGGGCTTCACAACTGAGCATATAGAAATAAAAGCAGATAATTTTAAGACAACAAAAAAGAAAAGTTAAAACTACACAAGTTTAAAACAACGGTCTGTGAGCTGCTATAAATAACACTCCTGCACAATAAAAATGAGTCAAAGTACAAACAGAATAAGATTACACAATTCCAAACACACTGCACATTAAAATATCTTGTTCATTCTACTTTCATGTAACTGTAACATTTCAAATATGGATCTCAAATTCTGGTTGTTATGTTAATCTTGAATTCAAATAGAAAGCCATTGATCAGATTACTGAGAGAGAAACTGATGCTCTGCTATGTGCACAAACATAAGCTCAATCATTTTGCTTAGTTTTGGTCCAGCGGTGTAGTAAAACCGAGCAGGACGGTATAAATAAAACCTTTACCAAACTAAATCCAAACACTGCACCTACCGCCTCATAGCTCCCCCTGTTCTGCTTCAGGAACTCCACACATTTGGCACGGACTTCAGTATGAAGGCTTTGGCAATGCAGCACCTGCACGGGATCAAAAGTCAACATTAATATCTCAACTGCAGTTTATAGACCACAGCTGCCATAAACATGAAATGTATCATTTCCAAGCAGTTTAACGTTAAAAAACTCGAGCTCTGAGTTTGAACCCACATTAATTACCTTACATTGAAAATCCCGTTTAGAAAATTAAAAACTTACATGTGTATGAGTAAAGTTTTGGAATGTTTACCTTTAGCGTTGGGACACTACTCAAAACCTTGTTACTTACGCTAAGATTTATCCGGATAACATTACACACTCACTGGCCTTCATTAGCAAATCATACGGACCAAGCCCTCTTCACCTGTGCTCAGTTAGCTGATTAGAAACTTAACGCTAGCTCTTTAATTTCACTTGTATTACTCTACCTGTTCGGCGACAGCCCGAAACAAACACGACCCATCTTTGGCTATCTTCTTCCGATGCAAACCCAATGTTTTCAGGTAGTCATCCATTAATTTCTCTGCCGCCCTCTCCTCATTACTTTGCATGTTTTCGCCGCCGTCCATGCTAGCGGGAGCTAGCCGCTAAAGCTAGCTGGTGATATGACGTTACCTGCGTGTTTGACGGTTTAGACTGCTAGCCCTTAAAACTTTTAGACACCACCGGGTTCACGGTGTCAATATCGCCACCGAAGACAGTTAAATCACTACATCTGCAATACAAAGCGTATTAGGAACAGCAATAGCAGGGTCTAGTTTCGTTTTCCAGGAAGCTCCGGTCCTCCCAGAGAAGCTACTCCTAACTGCTAGAAAGTGAAACTACAACAATCAACTTTAGCTAGCAGACAAGCTAACACCTAGCATCACTCCCCCTTCTTCCTCTACGGTTTCAAGGTAAACAGAGCGCAATGTAGTATTTCCTATTTTCTACCACAGCAACAGTCTCAATACATAACGCTGAGTGATTTCGTCTTGCCCAAAATAATCCTGTTTGCCAGAGGTACAAAATAC